TCAATTTCTAACACTTCTTGTAATATCCCATAAAAATCAATGATGTTTTCCCCATGAACACCTTGCACTACAACTCCGCTATTTTGAGTTTTTCAATTCTTCTCACAACTTTGTGTGTGGAACCTATACCCATTGACCAAACATCCACTATACTGGTTGACATAATGTGATGGCCCATGCGACAATATACGAGTTTCGTATTCAAACAATTGTGGCCAAGAGTTAAACTAAATAAAAATATATAACATATTGGTTAACAAGAGTTTAAAACTCCCATATTAAATTTTAAAACAATAAACATCAAATGTAGTTCTTACACGTTGGTGAAGCCATTATGCAAATTGTTTTTCATGATGTTCATTTACATTGTCAGCATTTTCTTCCTCTAGTTCAGCTTTGTGTGAACTAAAAAGTTAAAAATTAAGACTTGTTATTATATGAAAAAAATGAAAAATATCATTACATAAAAAGAATCACTTACTTTATTAGTTCCTTTATTTCATCACAATTGTTTAGAATTTATGTATGAATCTTATCGAATTCATTTTCACTCAAATCCTGTGATTTTGGACTACCTAATGGGCTCCCTTTGCATGAAAAAATGGAAATTTCACCATCACTATCCATCATTTCATTGTTGCGCTCAACCTTATTGAAAAGCGTGTCAACATCATTCAAATACATTGAACAAAAATTCAGGCATTCTTGTCTATGTATCTCTCAACAATACATCCTTATGTACGAGGTTTGTTCTTGACATATCCTTTTAAAGTACCCATTTTCCTCTTAAAAGGGAACATCCAACGGGTATTGAGGTGGGCCTGCGATCTTGGCTTCATATGGCAAATGAATCAAAAGATGAACCATGATGTCAAAGAATGATGGAGGAAATATCCGCTCCAACTTACATAATATGAGAACAATTTTTTCCTCTTGTTCCTCTAAAACATCTAGGTACATACTTTGTGTGCATAATTTCTGGAAAAACTCGCTGAGTTCGTACAACACAAGTCGAACTTCCTTTATCAAACAACCCCTAATTGATAAAGGCAACAATCACTGGATGAAAACATAAAAGTCATGACTTTTCATGCGTGACAACTGGAAGCCCCCCCCCCCCCTCCCATTAATGGATCTAGATATATTCGAGGCAAATCCTTCTGGGAACTTAAGTGACTTCAAGAAATCTAATATCTTTCGTTTCTCTTCCTTTGTCAAATGGTAGCAAGCCATAGGCATTATAAATGAATTGTCATTTGGTTGTAAATGTAAGCTCTTCTTTAAACCTTTATCCGTCAAATCCTTGCGAGATTTCCATGTGTCCTTTGTTTTATTCTTAATATTGAACAATGTGGCGGTCAAGCTTTCTGTCACATTCTTAACAACATGCATGATATCAGTGTTGTTCAATTTTTGTTTAGCCCAATATGGAAGCTTAAAGAACACACTTTTCTTTTTCCATCCTTGTTTGTCCTCTCTAGACTTACGTTTTCTTGAGTTAGAAAACATATCAACGTCAGCCAAAATTTCATTTCCAAACTTTGGAGTCAATGGTTGCCGCATATCCACCGTCCCATTAAAGTTCTTTTTATCCCTACGCCATTTGTTTGAGTCTGGAAAGAATCTTCGATGACCCATATAGCACATTTTTTTACTATGAGTCAAGTAACGAGATGATGTTTCATCCATACATGTAGGACAAGCATTGTAATCCTTAACACTCCAACCAGAGAGCATACCATATGCTGGAAAATCATTTATTGTCCACAAAAGGGCTGCTCGTAATGTAAAAGTTTTGTTTCTAAGTGCATCGTAAGCATTTACACCAACCTATAACTCATTTAGTTCGTCAATTAGAGGTTGTAGGTAGACATCAATATTAATGTCAGGTGATAAGGGACCTGGAATCAACATTGGTATGAATATTTATGGGTCTTTCCTACATTTCCATGGTGGAAAATTGTACGGTACAACAAAGACAGGCCATATGCTACGCGAACTGCTTAAGTTACCAAATGGATTGAATCCATCTGTTGCCAACCCTAAGCGTATATTACGTGGATCAATAGAGAATGAAGGAAAATCTTTATCAAGATGTTTCCAAGCTTCAGTATCCGCAGGATGTCTAACTATATTATCACCATCGACTCGTTTTTCCTTATCCCACCTCATGTCACAAGCGACTTATTTGTCAATAAACAATCTTTGAAGTCTAGGTTTTAGAGGAAAGTATCGAAGCACCTTTCGTGGTACTTTCAAATCATTTCCACTAAATCGAGGCTCTTTGCAGTCGTCATTTGGGCAGTGGGTATGAGATGCATATTGTTTTCGATAAAGAACACAGGCATTAACACATGCGTGAATTTTTTCTCCTTGAAAACCCAAATCACGTATGTATTTTTTTGCTTCATAAAATTTTTTTGGGACTAATGATGGAGTTGGCAAGGCTTTTCTAAATATATCAAGTAAAGCATCAAATGATTTGATGGACCAACCACTTCTTGTCTTTAGATGTAAAATTGTAACAATAAACGAAAATTGTGAGTAACTTTGACATCCTTCATAAAGTTCCCGGTGCGATTCGTCCATCAATCTTCGGGGAGATTCTAAATCCTTGTCTAAGGTACATGAGGAATCACCACTAGCTTGCCAATTATCACCCCATTTACTTTGACCTATGTTATTTAACATCTCATCAAGGTCATCATCATTTAAGTCATCACTAGCCCCATCAACTTCATCGATTGATATATCATCATCCGATGTATCATATGACTCACCATGATATATCCACCTAACATAACTAACAACAATTCCCATTTGCATCAAATGTGAGAATATAGTTGTTCGGTTATGATGTCGAAAATTATTGCGTTTTTTGCAAGGGCATGGAACTTTTGACAACACTTCTCTATCGCGGTATGCAAAATTAAGGAATTCATTTACACCCAGCTCATATCTTGGGTCCTTTTTCTTATGAACTATATTCATCCAAGACTTATCCATATGATCTGGTAAAAGAAAAATTCCTGAAAATAGCATAAATGTATAATGACAGTGAAATAGAAAACTCAGGTGGGGTTGTTAAATTAAGCAATAAGTTAATCTAAACATTGTATATGAGATAGAAACTAAAATGTACTACTACCTTACAGATCTATTAAAGATAAACTAGCATGCCAAATAGTCTAAAGTAGAATCTGAAAGTTTTCTTTTAAAATAACATACAAAGGTGCATGAACTTGGTATAATATTGAATATCCTAACATGGTCATTATATGAACCCATGATTTTGACAACTACTATATACATTGTTCATATAATTCAAGCAATTCGTTTGTATAAATTGACTTGATATCTTTTATTTGCTTGACACAATAATCATTAGAATTGAGAACACAAACAGATGGACGTTAAATAGATGGACACAGTAAGCAAGTGAGAATAACCATAGATAGCCCAAGGTCGTGCACCATAAGTAAAAAATAGCTTCAAGTATTAAGGTGCATGTTTTGATTTGCAACATGGGATAAACGATCAAATAATTATCGTAATGTTTAACATTTCATCTTATGGTGTATGATTAAGCAAGCATAAGAAATTATGATCTATAATTACGATCAAATAGTTCTTCTATGCCTTGTTATTTCTTCATTTTTGATCTCATATGATCAACTTATGTGATAGCTAGATTTGATGAGATGCTTACTTGATCAGAAGACAAGTATGAATTTTTCTTTGAAGAAAAAGATGATTAAGGAAACTTAAGATAATAGATACACATATAAGAATTATAATTTAAATTGTGATAAGTTTAAAAAATAATATTAACTATTATTTAGCTGTTTTCTGACCTCTAGCTTCAACTGTTTTATGGTAACAACTGAAGAAATGGAATGAGATATGGATAATCTTAGACCCAACAACAGGAAAAATGGTAACTGATCATATACTTTTTGATAAATCTTTTGAGAAATCTTAGAGCCCTTATTCAGAAATGATTTATCATATACTTTTTCATAATCTTAGATTCAACAATGATTGGACAGGGTTTCAAAATGCTATGGAGTTTAAGAAATCTTTTGAGGCTAATCACCATAGCGAGAGAGAGTGGGTTGCTTCTGATAAATCTTCTGGTTCAAGTATTTATGCATGACTTTCATGTGAAAATGACTGTGAGTCACAAGGGGCAATTGGAGATTTCCTACGCAAGAATCGTGAACTCAAAACCATATCATCATTTACAATATATTCCAAGATTATATTTAATCTTTCCTTTAAGTTCTGAATTAGTCAAAGCAACTGGAGTTGTAACAAAAATAGCTTGGGCAGGAGCTGCATATAACTTAATGTTATACATGTTGGCTAGTCATGTATGTATAATAATTGTATATTTGTATATAGTATAATAGTATATAACCTTTTTTATAAATAATAACAATTTATGGATTTTCTCATAATTAGGTATTGGGGGCAACATTGTATTTGTTATCAATTGATCGACACCTGTCATGTTGGAAATTTATTTGCAATAATGAAAAAGCATCATGTAAAGCTAGTTATCTTGATTGTAGCACAATCAATGATATTGAGAGAAAAAATTGGACAAAAGTGACAAATGTTTTTAAGCAGTGTACGGGTGATGATGATTTGCCTTTTACGTATGGAATATTCCAAAATGCAGTTCAGAAAAATGTGATTTCCTCAAGTATTTTTCATAAGTACTTCTATTGTTTGTGGTGGGGATTACAACAATTAACGTATGTGTTTCTTTTAAGTTTATTTGGGTTAATTCAATAAACAACAATGTAGTTTTGTTAGTTTGTTTATTATAGCATCCTAACTCTCACAAACACTTCTATTTAGCAAGGGAAAAGACTTTATTGCCCCTTACTAAATCATTTATTTCATTACTAACTTAAAGGATAGTAGTTCTACGTAAGTAAACTTGATCGAGGTATAACTTTTAGGAAGCAACAATTGCATTGGTGCCACGTGTAATGGATCTGGTTGCCTCAAGGGGCATTCCGGTAATTGCTGCTGGTGGAATAGTCGATGAACGAGGCTATGTTGCTGCTTTAGCACTTGGAGCCCAAGTTTTCTGTTTAGGCACTAGGTACATAATATTACACTTAACACATTGAGACTTATATACAAGAAAACTAAAGTTGAGTGAGTGATTTTATTTAATTAGGTTTCTTGTGACTGAAGAAAGCTTTGCTCACCCAATATACAAAAAGAAGCTAGTTGAAATGAATCAAACATAGTATACAGATGTATTTGGACGTGCCAGGTGGATAGGGGCCCCACAGCGTGTACTTAAAACAACGTTTTACATGGAATGGAGAAATCTACCAAGTCATGAGAATGAGGCTAATCAACATGTTATTGGGCATACAACAAGACATGGCATGGTAAGTGTCTTTTTTCTAAGGGATTACATATTGCTATTATGAATAAAAGGAAATGTAAATAGGTTGCTATTATGGGTAAAAAAAGTAAAAGTAAAGTAGTTGACTTATTGACCACTTGTGTTTTTTGGTATATTATAGGGGAAAGAGATTAGGCAGTTTGCGGGTACAATGCCAAACAAGACAACAAAAGGGGATATTGAAAGCATGGTAATGTATGCAGGTGAAGGCGTAGGACTTATACATGAGATTTTACCAGCTTCTCAAGTGGTAAACCGACTTGTTGAGGGCGCTCAGATTTTGATCCAACAACATAAATCGTCAACAGGCATCTACTAAGAAAAAATTTTGCAAAAATAAAATAAATGATGTAATACGATCAATCATGTATGTTCCATATGATATAACCATCTATTTTGAATAGGTCTTTGCCATTGGTTGTTTTGGACCCGGTTTTATGTAGAAAAGTCTAATTATTATTATTTTCATATTACAAATCGTTAAATTTAGTAAGTTTAGTAACCCTATCCCTTAAAGCTTGAAAATTTTATATATTCTTTCTCTTCAAGAAAAAAAAATCATGCATCAAGTCCACATTCATGCTTGGTTAATACTTAATACTCCCTCCATTAAATAATTACAACAGATATTGTTTTTAGTATCCCCAAAAAAAATACAAGATTCCCTTAATGGGCTATTTGTTTCATTTAGCTCTAATTCCATACGTGGTGTCGTGTGGTCCGGGAAACTTATAAGAATATTAGTCCAAAGAAGTGATGGGTTATGAGCATTCTAACACTCCTAAGTGTACATGCAACCCTAAATACCTTGGATCTATGTTTTCTCTATTATACATACAATTATGAACATCCAAGGTATTATCCTAATCTAGCATACAAAATAATAAATATAACAAGATAGAATACATACCTCTTTGATGTAGAATGTCTTCATGAAGCTTGAGTGCCTAGTGCCCCAAGTGTGACACCTCAAATGGTTCACACAACACCAAATACACTTGGAATAACTTGAGAGAAACTTGAACACTCCTTGAAATCGTCTAGCCCTCACACTCACACATTAGTCCACGATTTCTTGAGCCATGGGATTCTTTTATATGGTGGCTATTAGGGTTACACCATGTAACTCATAACTTTACCCATTCCTTATGCTCCATGGATTTTAACCTCCATGGAGTATCCATGGGTCACCCCATGGACTTAGTCCAACATAAGAAATCTTGGATCACAAGCCCACATATATAAGAATGAATGATTTACACAATCAACCCATATATTTAATTAGTCTCCTTTTGATCACTTAATTAATTCCAAATTAATTCTTGATCAATACTAATTAAATAACCTTATTAATATATTAGAACTTATAATATTAACCAACCTTAAGTGTTATTTCTCTCATTATAGTCTATCCAAATGCATGATGCCATGCAACCCAAATGGACCATGCCGGGTCGGGTCAAGTCCTACCAATTATAGTTATGGACTTAGACATTAATCCAACAGTCTCCCACTTGGATAAATCTAAAACTATTATTGCGTATGACTTCAGGAACCGATCAGCAATCGTAGCTCTCAAAAGATTCTGTCGAACTCTGACCTTGTCGATGACTCTGACATTTGTCAATGACTTGTCCATTAGATAAGGGATCATATATTCCTCCATTCTAGATATCATATGGACTGAGACATGGATTATCAATCATTCTCTCTGTCCATTTGTTGTTTCCCGATTTCCGATTCATAATGACTGACTGATTGAACAAATCAAATCAGTCCTGGCTTGGCCAAGCACTCACATGTATCATCTTTAAATCATCGAGGGGCCCACAGATATCGCTTTTATCCCAAGGTAAAAGGAATGGATAAACTTCGACTCATATGGCTTGTTCTACTACTTGTTGAATCATACACAAAGGCACATTTTATAACATCGAGTTACCAATGCGTTTTCGTGCAATCAATGTATAACCAACTCATAGTAACAACTCATATCTCTAGGTTTGAAGAATATAAGATATTATCGTCTCATGATCACTCGTGATAAAATCCATGAAGTGATTCAAATGAGCGCGGGTTGAATCCAATACTCAGAACTTATGAGCACTCATGAGTGTTGTAGCACCACTTTGTCCACCAAGTTGGACCTCTACAAACCAACCCATGACAGTCTTGATTCATATCTACTTCCAACATATGACCGACTGTGGATGGTTTGAATAACTTAATCATTCAGGAAGCGACTTAGTTATTCTGGAAGTCAAAACATGCAAAGTGAAACACAAGAATAAATGAATCAAATATGGTATCAAACCCTATGAATATAAATAAACACTTTTATTTATCACCATACTCATTACTCATTATTCATTGTTTCGGTTTTATCAACTTTATACTTGAATTTAAAACAATAGTTGTCCCATGCTCCAGCATGTACACTATGTTTTCTAAACACATTCAGCTGCCATACACCAAGTATGCATACTATGTTTGTCTATGATCTTTACTTTGTAAAATAGATCAATTGAACATCGCTCCAATGATCCTCTTTTCACAGTCCCAAATCCTTACTGCAAATGCAAGAATTCCAAATTCATGCCATTTACTGAAATCTGTTAGATTCTAAACTTATATGCATTGATCCTCTTAATGATTATGCACGAAGTCAGAAAGACTTGACAACAATCATTATAGAGCATTCCAAAGGAGATCAGCTCCTTGGAAACATCCTTCTTTCATTAAGTTTCCTAATCTTACACAGATTGAATAATTTCTAACTTTGAAACATTTCCATATTCCATTTTGACTATCACTTCTGAACAAGTGATGCCTCTTTTCAGAATATGTCAATATGGTCCTTCCAAAATTAGCACTATACTTCCAACTGTCACTGAGCAACCAATCTTTGGTAAACCTCAGATTGTCCTCGACAATTGCTTAATCATTTTAGTCATATCCAATTCTAGACCTTTTCCCTTCTTAATGCCTCTGGGCATTTGGAAAAATTTAGAAATGACAAATATTATAGCACATGCAATCGATCCTGTACCCAAAGCAAATGGTACACGATTCATGATGTCTCACATAAAGACATGATTCTAGACCAGTTTTTTGCTACAATATTTTATTTGCCATGTTTTCAAAATTTGACTATGACGAGGGATGTCGTAATCATAATCGAATTTTGAGAATGCAATATATAGAATTTCCTTAATTTGAACCAATCCAACATGAAATTCATATATATATATATATATATTCTTGACTAAAGATGATTAAGGTCTCAATCTAAGCCTTTAGAACTGAAATGAAGTATATCCTCTCCCTTAATTATAGCAAAACAACTTTTCAATCCCTGTGCAGCCTCACGAATTGAAACTTTTGTTTTCTATAATTAACATTGCTAACTTGCAACACTAACAATAATTATCATGCTCCCACTAACATGATGATTATTAGCATAACACTTATGCTCCCACTAGCTTTGACATATACTCAGAAATCAACTGGACTTCTAGAAATCAATACTTTATTGACTTCCTTACCAAAGTTCAGATTTCTGATACGAGATGCTTTGATAAACTTTCATAATCATACACACCTTCCTTAGATAGCATGCATGTGTGTCTAAACAATTTCAGAACTATGAAAATGGATGCCGTAATCATAGTCTCAATTGTTTAGACCTTTTGCCATCTGCTTCAAATCTACTTGGTGGAAGTGTTTCCTCACCATCATTTTCATGAATCGGAGAGAAACCTTATGACCCTTAGATTTTATGGTGTATGTGTTTCTTATCCATGTGAATCGTCAAAAACCATAGTCACAAGACAAGGATAATGACAAATCCAAACTCATATGGACTGAACTTATGCAATCTTAACTTCTTGCCACTTGGCAGTACAGGGCCTGCCATTGCTTCCAAGTTGTTATGCAACCAATTGAGAACTTTCAGAACTCCTATGCAAAGCCAACTTTAACTGGAATGGGCACATAACATGTCAACATGATAGGTTATAAACCTCAACTCGTGTGCTAGTGAAGAACCTCAGGTTTTATTCTTGATTAGTTCTTGAAATTCTTTTTAGGATCTTTAAGACTCCCACTGTCCTCTTGACATATAAGACTATCTTGCCAAATATTCAAGAGATAGTGCGGATTCTTTATCAAGACAAACACTTCACACAATTGGCCTTAGTTGGTCTTTGTTTAATCCAAAACATCACAACTTACCAACTTCAAATGTACAAGAGTAGGACACTTTTACTCTTACATTTGACAAGTGTTATAAACCTTTCTTTAAGATATGTCACTCAACTTATAGTCTTGGAGTATGACTCTAAGACTTGTTTTGAAACAAAGTATGACTCATCTTCTTGATTTAACCATTTCAACAATTCATGACTCCTCTTCTTAGTCATAAGAATGCACTAAGATGTCCTTAGAAGACCAATTGTGATGTGGTTCTTTAATCATTAAGATGATCACAAAACATGATACTAAAGTACTCTCCCATCTTTTCAGATTTGAGAACTTTTATTCTTCTGCCTAATTTGATTCTTCCCATTCGTTCTGCCATACATTGAGACTTTTCCAATGTTTCAGAATTATACTTAAACTTGTAAGTATACCCATATTTACTAAAATTTAGTAAATCATGACGAATAGTCTTAACGAGCTTTGTGGTGGACTTGACCAGTGCACAAAATGTGTACTCGATCCCTTTAGTCCTTACTTGACTCACACATCCATGTGAACAAGTCTTAATTTTCCAATGCTTGAAAGTTCTCATTCATCATACTCTTCAACTTGCATGATTCCAAGTTTCTATCCAACTGAAGCTTGGGAATGAGAATCTTTCCTTATTTGGTAATTATGACACTAGCACAAACGAAAGAATCAAGTCTATTTTTTTTTCAATATTGCTATCAGTGGAATCATATAAAAAACCATTTTTCACAAATGCCACTGTAAGGATATTTAAAATAAATATAAAATTAAAAATTTTATTTTATTTCAAAACTTTGCGAAAAAAACTTATCCTTATAGTGCAAATGCATACGGAAAAACTTGTTGTTATCTATTCCTAAGCAATATATCATAACTCCTAAGTAACAGCTTCAAAATTCTGATGCGATCGAAATCCACCTACGCGATCAGAATCAGCATATACTTCCTTTAAGCTTTCTCTCTATTCTTTGATTCTTAAAACATCAACATGTGAGCCAGTCACATCATGTAATGAGGATCTTAGAATAGAAACTTAACAGAGTTAGATAATGGGCTCTACCTGAAGTAGAGTCAGACTTATTGACTTTA